CTGATCCCGTGAGAACCGAACCACTGAAAGCCAGGATGGCTTCCGCCCTGGTCGTAGTTGTATCGATCACATAGCTACTCTTCGCCAAGTTGCAGAGCAGAGACACGCATACAGACGAACGATTATGGTTTCCCCTGACTTGAAAGCCGCCTTCGACTCTGTGGCTGGCTTGCCGAACTACCTCCTCGTGGTGCCAGCTGGGTGGTTCGGGTGTACCCCGTTGCAGCAAAGTGTTTGGCAACAGTGTTCCACCACGGTGGGGTATTGTAGTGCAGCAATAGTGCTGATTTCATGAGGAGTATTGGGCCTTTGTTTGGTGACCTACCAAACGGAAGGCGCATGAACTGAACATCTAGTCAACGCCTCCCAATGGGCACGAATCCCTGAATTAGCCCTGCTGCCTTGCGGGTAAGTTATTTAACCAAAGGCTCCGGGTGGAGTGCCCTAAGTCAACTTCCTACTTTGGCTTGGGCAATCGGGTAGTATCATGCCCTCTCACAAAACCATGGACTGTATTACAACGTGCTCATCAGCTACCGTTCCTGCTTCTTACATTCATACGACTTAATCACACGCCAATTGTATTTTTGCTAACTATTCATACTTTCTGTTATCCGATTCATGTGTTCAACAATCTGGCTGTGATTCCGATTGCGCGGAGAAGCACGGAGTTCAACCTATGGCTCTTCTTCATCCTCGATCCTCCTCCCGTCTGGCGCGTTTCAACGTTCGAACACTCATGCAGATTGGACGGCAAGCCGGTCTAGCGCGCACCCTAGAGTCCGCCGATATTGATGTCTGCTGCCTTTCAGAAACCCGATTGCAGGATCCCACCACTGTGCTTACATTGACATCCCCCATTGACCAAGAAGCCATATCTCACGTGCGTCTTTCCGGAGATGCAGAAACAGCCTCAGCGGGTTTGGCTGGTGTTGGTATAGCACTAAATGGCAAGGCTGAGGCGCCAATACTGAACTGGTTCCCGATTAACAGCCGACTATGTGAAGTTCGGCTTCGGGGTTCATGTAGAATCAACAAGCGCCGGGAAGAGAGACGCAACTTGTTTGTGATCTCCGTGTACGCTCCAACCGACTGCAGTGGCGGCTCGGTCAAGGATGAATTCTACCAAAATCTACATCCACTCTTGACTAATGCTAAAAAGTCGGATGTCGTTGTCCTTGATGGGGGTTTTAATGCACGAGTTGGCCGCTTGTTACCATACAAAGGCCACGTTGGTGGTCACCACGCGCTCGATAAGAATCGCTCTGATAACAGAGGGAGGCTTCTCACATTGTGCGAAGACAACCATCTGTTTCTCTAGAGCACTAATTTCAGGCGTACACAGAAGCGTTCTGCAAAGTGGCGTCCCTCTTCGCAAACACAACCATGGTCTCAAATTGATCACATTGCAATTAGCTTCAGATGGTGTGGCAGCGTATTGGACTGCTGGTCCTTTTGGTCCACCTTCGTTGACTCAAATCATGCGCTGGTCTGCGCGAAAATCTGTATGTTATTTTTTTTTGGGGGGGGGGCGAAACACGAAACACAACAAGATTGATGTAAACAGAGTAACTGATTCCTCTGTCCAGGCGAGCTATCAGTCTTCACTAGCATATGCACTCAGTTGCAATCCACCGCAAGATGTGGAGCAACACTGGAGTTGTGTACAAAAAAGATGACCATTTCCGGAAAGTCAAGCTATGGCCAAACTCGACGCCCCTTAAAAGCTTGGATCTCTGCTCGTTCTCTGGAGCTGTTCGAACGTCGTAAAGATATCCCGGCGGAATCAGATTGTAACGAGCTGCGCCGTTTTGCCAACCGGTTGCTCAAGCAAAGCCTACGCAAAAATCGCGAGGCATGGTGGAGGCCGCTGCCCTCTCTGGCAACACTCGCAAGCTTTTTCAACTCATTCGGTCCACTGGCCTCAGGAAGCCTGGTGTCAGTGAGGTTAATTGCGAGGTGGATGAGTCTCCGATCACCAAGCAACAGAGACGTATGGACCGCTGGGCCGAGCACTTTCACTCGCTGTTCAACTGGCTTCCACCATCCATCAGTGCATGCAGTACACTTTGTTGTCCACTCTGGCTCGTCCCACTGAATCCACCCAGCGAAGCGGAAATCTGCGTCGAGATTCGAAGCTTGAAGCTGTTCAAGGCTGCCGGCTCGGACGCACTTTCTCCGGAGCGGTTCAAGTACGGCGGCGTAATGACCATTAACCAGAACGAGGTGCCAGAGAAGTATACCGTCATCTTGCGAGCACATTACTTTCATACTTACGGGAGAGTGCGGGTCTATGGCAAGCATTGCTTGCCATTCGCTGTCAATAGCAGTGTACGACAGGGCTGCCCTATGTCCCCATTTTTCTTCAACTTCGCAAGCGAAGACCTTCTGTCGAGTGGTCTAGGTTTCCAACATTTTGGCTTAGAGCTTCTACCGAGTGAGCGCGCGACCGACTTAGATTATGCAGATGATATCGCCTTACTTGGTGAGGATCCTCCGAGTATGCAACTCATTCTAGATCGTCTGGCGATTGAAGCATCTAAGTATGGAATGAGCTTCACCTCATCGCAGTGTAAAGTACTGCTCAAAGATGGGCGTTCACCTGTTCCCGTGTTCACTCTCCAAGGTGTACAACTTGAACAGGTAGATAGTTTCGTCTACCTTGGGAGCTGTGTTTCTGCTGACGGCACTGTCAAAATAGAAGTTCCTCTTCACATCGCTAAAGCCCGATCAGCATTTGCCAATCTGAGGCACTTGTGGCGTCGTCACGACGTCTCATTCTCACTAAAGGGCCGCGTTTACAGCGCATCATTTCGCTCAGTATTGTTGTATGAGTGCGGGTCCTGGCCGACATGCGTCGACTTTCTGACTTCGATAACGGTTGCTTAAGGAGGATTGCTCGTGTTTGGTGGCAAGATCGAGTTAATAGTAATGACCTTCGACGTCGCATCTTGGAGAATGCGAGTATTCCCTTCAACAAACTGGTTTTGTTGCGCCAGTTATGGTGGCTCAGTCACGTCCTACGCATGGCACCTGAGCGTCTACCGTGTCGCGCTGCAACCGCTCGTCAAGCACCTGGCTGGATGTGACCGCGTGGTGGTCAGCCTTCCACTTGGTGATAGCATATGAAACCGCTGACGTCGTGTCTAACCGTTGTTGAACCCGTATGTCTTCCAGGATGGGGACCCAAAGATGAGGAGTACCAATGGTTTAACACTCCTGAAGACGGTCCGCAACCAGAATCAGTGGAAAAATGGTGTACAGTATTGTGCTGATTCACATGTTTAATACTTCAAACATTAAAAATGAGAAAAAGAGAAAAATCGGCGTGTGAAAAACAAACTAAAAAGGTTTTGTTCTACTTTTTGTCAAAATGGTCCTTCCTTCCGGCGGCATAGTAGCTGAAGTGTGTTGCTCACCTTCAACTACTAGGTCACGATGATTTTGACGCGATAACTTTGACTTATCCGCTGATCTCCATGGTTTTCTATTGACTCTATGTCTAGTTGCTAGACAGATGAGATTACATGCATACATACATACTGTGGACTGCATCAACTTGTGGCACTGCCTACCCATGAAGGGTGTGACGGCTAAATTCCTTTCCAACTTACAGCCTCTCTACCGTGATTCCCCAGGCTGTGTAAGAGTAGACGGGAAACTCTCCTGAGTTCCCCAAGACAAGTGGTGTTCGGCAGGGTTGTCCTATATCTCTTTCCCACTTCAACTTTGTGATCGAAGTGGTTTTGCGTGACGCCGTTCTTTCAGACTCTACCGGAGTGAAAGTTCTGCCAGGTGACCGAGTGACAAACCTTAGTATGCAAACGACATAGCTCTTATAGGATCCGACGCAGTGCTAGACAAACACTATTAGATAGACTGACGCGTAGCACCGCAACCTTCGGCATGTGCTTTGCACCTTCAAAGTGTAAAGTACTATTGCACGACCGGATGGACACACCTTCGGTACTGGCTATCGCCGAATAGCCACTATAAGTGGTGGATTGGTTCACGTATCTTGGCAGCTGTCACCCCTCGTGGTCATATCAGTGAGGAAATTACTTCGCGTATCAGTGAGGCCCTTATGATGTTCCAGAGACTCAACCACCTATGGAGACAGTGAGATATCAGCCTGTCAGTGAAAAATAGGGTAGATAACGCCAAGGCCGGTGTTACTGTATGGATCAGGGACCTGGCCAGTTCGAGGTAAAGATATTAAACACTTCTTCGTGTTTGACCACCGGTGCTTGCGAAATATTGCTCACGTCTGGTGGGAACAACGAGTGAGTAGTGCTTAAATCCGCCAGTTGGTTTTTGGCAAGAAGTCTTCCGGTGTCTCTCTCGAGTGTTTTCTGAATCTTAATAGCTTATGTTGGCTAGACCATGTCCTCCGTGTGTCCGTTGACCGGCTTCCTCGGCGTGCATTATACGCCGTGGTTGCACAAAGCTGGGTGAACTTGCAAGGTGGCTAGTCCATAACCTGGCAGAGGCATAAAGAAATTGACAGACTTGGTCAGGCTAGTTCGGGCCTTTGGATGGTTCACTCCAATGGTTGGAAACCGTATCAGACATGGTGCAGTCACGCAGTCAGTGCCGTTCCTTCATCTGGTTGCTAATTTTCGTTCCAGTCTAATTAGTTTAACGCACATTCGGTTTGTTTCCGCTTACTTTACACTATTTGCATTCAACTTCAGTACCTTGTCGTTGTATGTATTGCAAATCTGGCGATGTGAATCGTGGCAACTGCATCTACCGCACTTCGGTGCTCGGATGATAGTTAGCTGAACTGAAGTTGAAAACTGCAAATCCCGAGATAATGGTGGAATGGATGGTCGAGTTAATCCCTCGGTTCGTTGAAGCCTTGAGATCAGATCGCGAGTCCGAACGAAGGAAAGTAGAAGAAAGTGAAATCGAACAGCAGAATCATCAGTGAAAAGAATTTGATTCCTAAAAACCCAAACGAAAACTAAAATTCAAGCGTGGGATGACTGGGAACATACCTAATTCGCACAACGGAGTTTGCAAATCAGCCTCCGTGTAATCCTTCTTGGGAAACGTGGTGAACACACAAACGGAAGCCGGATCGACGCCGGATGGAGAGTCGGGCCATCGTTGACTGATGTAAAGAATGACTGCACTCAGCGGTTCCGATGCACCGAACTCCGCTTTCAACGGAGGCCCCGTGGGAAGGCGAAGTTGCAAACGGCAGACGGTGGCGTTGGAGCTAGCTGGTGGTGGAAGAAAACTAGGTTTTGTAACCTCGGAGAGCTCTGGTTGTTCCCCACGATCACGCAACCGCTGAGCAGTAGAAAGGGCAAAACGTGCAAAAGGGTTTTGGTTTATGAATGAAAGAAGTAATTGGTAAAAGTGACTGGTAAAAGATATGGAAGCAAAGAACTGTCTCCTGATTATGAGGAAAGGAATCAGGAAAGTCCATCATACAGGTAGCAAACAGGCAGCATAGTTAGCATGTTCGGATGAATAACGAACATCTCGTAGGTTAGGTGGCAGAACAGTTGTAACCTGATACAGGCGTGAAAATGACTAAAGTAGAAGGCAAATTTCGTGAGTCAGGCATAGTCATATCACCAGAGCACAATGGACAAAGTGGCCATAAGCCGCACCATCATCATCATGACATGATAACAAGCTGAGAAGCATACTTTAGTGCCGCAATGAAAACAATCATTAAAAGTAAGGGGTGAAACTAAAAGAGAAATCTTCACCAATACATGTTATCTGAAGGCGAGAAACACACCTCAGGTAATATGACGCAACACAAAAAGATAAGATACCAAAAAGAATTACACTACAAAGCATTCAAAAAGCAAGTAATATAATGTTAAATACCTCATTATGCGACTGGAATGAGTTGGTAATTGGAGGGGTCTAAAGGAGAGGGGGTGGAAAAGAAACACAACACAAACGCCACTGGGGCCGGCTCCCAGTCAGATCAACAAGTGTGTCCAACCAAACGTGTTCATCGTCCTTGGGACCCCAGTACGGCAGTCGGGATGCACCAAAGTGAGGGTTTTCATTGCCCTCGACCAAGTCATCACTTGGTTTCCCTTCTTATTTTCCAACTGTACTCCCGGCGCGCAAACAACGCACATCACGACAGTCAGTGTGCTGGCGTGCGCTCAGGCATCCGAGCCTGGTGCGTGATATAATGGTGCTGATCGGTTCACTAGCTCTTCCTGCACCAAATACGCGATGTCGAACAGATTCATTGCCCACGCGCTGCACTTACTATACATGAGCCAAGATGAAAAGGCGGTGATGATCGAACGCGACTAGCCTCATTATGTCTGTCAACCTGATGGGCTAGGTTTCACAACCGTATAACGGGCGACCGCATTATAAACTCTGTCCTTCACGGTTAAAGGGATGTCGGCCGGTGTCCGAGTGGTCTGCGTGCTTGGTTTGCAACCATAAGGTCACCGGTTCGAATCCGCGTAGGGGTGGGCGTCCTCGCAGTATACTCAGCCCACGCGCGACTGGTGGTCGCGCGGCAGCGAAGCGCCGTTACGGCGTACAGCTAACACATTATTATTATTAAAGGGATGTCGCGGCGGCGACACAGGTGGCGGAGATGGGCAAAAGCACCTCGAAGTTTTGCTAAATGGTTCGTAACCTCATCTTCGATTCCACGGGCGCTAGTACAGCTGTGCAGATAACTGAATTCTTGAACGATGTCTAGCTGATCCCCACAAAGGGTCAGCGCAAGGGTGGGTCTCTCCCAATTGTGGAGTAGGACTTTGCATTTAGATGGAGCAAAGCATAGCCCAAAACGATTGACAGTCAATGATAATCGGTCCAGTGCTGCTTGGCATGTTTGGGAGCTGTCACAGATGAGGACATATTCCCTATACTCCAAATCTAGAAATCGCTCACCAGGAAGTAGCTCCACAGCTTCTAGGTCATGTCCAGCGAAGGTTGCTTGTATGACTTCGTCCATAGCGAAGTTAAAAAGGAAAGATGACAACAGGCAGCTTTGTCGCACACCACTGGAGATAATGAAGGGCGGCAACAGTTTGCCATAAATCCTCAGTCCAAACTAAGCGCTTACAACGCTCCGATAATGTTTACATATTTATTTGGCACACCCTTCTTCAGCAGATAGTCCCAAAGGGCACATCGGTCAACCGAGTCGAAGACACTTTTGGTGTAGATAAACACGACTACGGTTGGTAGCCAATAAACATGGCAGTGTTGCAACAATTGAAGCAAAGTGAAGATGTGGTCGACGCAGCCCCATGTCGACGAAACCAGGCTTGCTCCTGAAAAATCTGGCTTTCACGAGTACCCGTCAGTCTGTGGAGAACGACAGATGCAAGGAATTTAGAGTCAATTGTGGTCAGACTGATCTCTCTATAATTGCCACATTCGGAGCGGAAGCCTACCTTGAAAACTGGGACTATAACGGAGCGGCACCATGCTGTCGTGACAGTTCCTGCTCCCAAAGTTCCACTAGTAACTCGGGTATAGTATCTATAAGATCACGTCCCCTGAATTTGAAGAGGGCTTATGCAACTTCAACAGTCCAATTTCACGTTTGACTTCTGCGCGAGGGCGGATCCAAAGAGATGGCCTAAGGAGACAGTCCAGGGAGACGGGCACACAATGCATGAAAAAGAAAGGGATCACTCAGATTGGTTAAACAGCCGTGCAAATTGTTGGGCCCAACGACCCAAGCGTTTTGACAGGCAGTGGATTGGCTGTCCACTTACGTCGCGTATTGTCTCGCTAACACTGGGTCTCCTGCTGCCTAGTTCCCATATCAAACGGAATAAGTTACGGTGATTATCAACAGCAGCGGCCGTTTCCATTTCCGATGCACGAGGAGACCACCGGGCTTCGCAGTCTCTTTTCAGGCTAGTGCGTAGTTTTGCCTTGAAATTTTTGCGAGTCTCATTGGATTCATTTACAGCAGGAATACCTCGGCGAGCACCCATAAGTTCAGAGTCCGTGTATAGAGCCAATGTCCAGATTGGCAATTTGATTTGCCGCATGAAGACATGTTTGCTGATGGTAACGTTTGACGAATATGCAACCAGTGTTCAGTGGACGCTTACTCAGCAGGGATGCCATCGTACTTTGATACCCATACAGAACATCCTGCTTCGCCAGTTGGCTGGTGTCTATGCGGTCACAGCGACGAAGCGGACGTCCGCCGAGACGCCCGCAAGAGTGTGATCGCAGTCCACGCTCGCGCTCCAAACCGAGCGACAGTTTTGCACACAGCCGTTCCAACGGAAACTGATTACGATGTGAGCGATTTGCATCCATGGCTGGTCCAATGCTGGGGGGCGCCAAGTCACTCTTCTGCGGTGCTATGTCGGAAGTTAGTGCTCACGAGAAACAGACGACTATCGTCACACATAGGCAGCAACCGCTCACGGTTATCATTACGGGAGCTCACACCATGTTGGTAGTCCAGATGAAGCTCATTAGAGGACATCTGTCCGACTTGGGCGTTTAGATCACCATAGTATCCGCACTTCTGCTGTAACGGAGATGGTTATGTTGGTGTTATAATTCATCATTCACCGAATCAGTGTTGCAGTTTGTGGGGGCGCAGGCTGCAATGACAAACAGGCACCGTTGGTGCCCGCGCGATTTCGAAACCTGGAACGAGTCAGCCAATCTAACGGCGCACATCCGGCTGCTGACTAGGATCCAATCGATCAGGGCAGGTTCAGTCCTATGACTCAAAACAAGGCCAACGCAAGCTTGACCGGTACTTGAAGCTGCGTCATCTTCAGACAGACGCAATAAGAACGTGCAGCCAAAGTCGCATGTGGAGGATGACAAAGTAAGCACGGACCTCGAATCTTGTAGGCGGGTTTCCGATAAAAAAAACGAATATCGTTTGATAGAGTCTCGAGTCTTCGGGCAAGTGCCGCCTGTTGGCCAAGCTGCTACAAAGTGCATACGCTGAGATATGCCAGTCTTAGCTAGGGTCGAGGACGCCAAAGGAAAAGTGATGAACTGACATTGTCCGCTCGTCTCAACATGGACTTGTCGACTGGACTGGAGCAACGCCCTACGATTGTGTTTAAAATAGAAGAGCGACTATTGAAGCAAGATGAGGGAGGGCCAAGAATTGGGAGATTGAAAACAGGGGGATAAAATGAAGTTAGAGCGGGATGCTAAGGATGAAAAAGCGCGAATGGGAATAAGAAGACGAGAAGGCCTGAGCAGTAGCATCCAAGCTCCTATTCACTCTACTCGATGCAGCAGATAGGGCGCCGTTGATTTTCCATTGCGACGACTAGAGCATCAAGTGACTGTTAAAAGGAAAAGTCATGGTGTTGTACTGCGTAAGCAGGACACTATTAGGTTGCCCAGGTCTAGAGAGGAGAACGACTAGAGTTCTCAATCAAACCTTTTAGTTCAAAAACTTTACCACAAAGCAGCGGGGTTTTGGCACTAGACTACAGAGAAGGCTTCACGGAGTAAGGAGCCCTTGAGCTCCGACAGTTGAACCCATTAAAGTCTGTTGGCCCAGACGGACTTCTTCCGAAGCTATTCAAGTTCGGTGGTGAAGTAATTGTCAACCAGTTAACAGCTCTGTTCTCTAAGTTCTGGTGTGAAGAAACAGTCCCAACCGCTTGGGGAAAGTCAATTATCGTCCCGATCTTTAAGAAAGGTGCCCGTACCCTATGCGCTAACCACCGAGGAATCAGTTAAATGTCCGTTGCCTCCAAGCTCTTAACATTCATACTAATCCGCAGACTAACCCCGATTCGAGAATTGCGCTCCTATAAAAAGCAGGCTAATTTCCGCCCCGGTCGAGGGTATAAAGAACACTTGTTTAGGCTCCGCCAACCCTTGAAACGAGTCATCTTTACCGCCAGCCCACTATGGTTGTTTTTCTGGACATCCGAACCGCTTTCGACTCAGTCGATCGGCCAGTTTCATGGCGTTGCTTACAAAAGAATGGAGTACCCGAAAAGTATATAGCCATCCTTTAAGCATTATACTGCAATGTCTCAGGTAAGCTCTCTTCACTTCTGCCGTCACTAGCGGTGTAAAACAGGGTTGCCCCTTGTCCCCGTTTCTCTTCAACCTTGCGATCGAGGATGTCTTTTTAAACACTATCGAAGGCCATCAGGGTTCTGGTGTAGAGCTTCTTCCTGGAAACTGCGTGACTGATTTAGATTATGCTGATAATATTACCTTGCTTGGTGATGACGCACAGAGCACACAAGCCGTTCTAAACTGCTTGGCGATTGAAGCATCCAAATATGGCATGACCTTTGTCCCTACGAAAGGCAAAGTCCTGGTCCTGGATCGGCATCCACCTTCCCCAGTGCTCATCCTATGAGCTACGCAGCTTGAACAAGTGGACAACTTTGTTAAGCTGAGAAGTTGTTTCTGCTAATCGTAGCATTGGAAAAGAGATTTCCCTCCGCATTGCCAAAGCCCGTTCGGCATTCGCCAACTTGAGGCATCTTTGGCGACGCTGTGACGTTTCACTATTGGTAAAAGGCAGAGTCTACACTGCTTGTGTTTGCGCGGTGCTGCTGTATGGGAGTGAGTCCTGGCCGATTCGCGTGAATGACTTGCCTCGGATTTCGGCCTTTGACAATGGATGTCTGCAGAAAATAGCTCGAGTGTGCTGGAGGAACCACGTGCGCAACGATGATGTTAGACGTCGCGTCTTGGGTAACACAAGACTTCCAC